TGTAATTTCTTGGTTTTCTGGTAATTGCGGTGTTAAGTTGAAGTCCAGTTAGCCGATTGTTTATAGTAGGGTCAAATGAAGAGCTACTTTTTGCGTAACAAATTAGCAACAAAAAAGCGACAAAATTTGAGTTTCATTTCAAATTTGTTAAAACATCGGTATGCTAATTTTACGAACCTCGTGAGGATGAGGAGGAGGAGGAGGTCTGGGAATTCCAAATCCAACGCGGCACTGAAACTGTGGTTCGCAAATACACAACTTTGCGAATGCACTTACCACGCTAACTAATACTGATTGGCTTAAATTCTCGCTGCCCTATTTCGCTTAACACTTCCCGCTCAATGTCCGTTATTGCTGCTACTAATCATTCTTGAGCCACCAACTCACCTCAGTTTACGGAACGTGTTCGAAGGACGATCAGGTGAAAATCGGAATTATTTGAAACACGCAAGTTTTCAAGATAAATTCAGTTCTATACTTCGGTTATAGGGGGATTGAAAACATATGTCCCAATTATAGCAGCAGTAGTGTGATTTGTGAAAAAACAAATAGTAATGCTACAGAATGGCACAGACTTTCTCGAACTAGTTCGTTTCCTAATTTCTTTGCTCTGGCCTACGTTTTCGGTTTTATTCCACCTTCTATCCAGCTGCCATTCATTGCCACCTAACTTTTTCACATTTTTTCAAGATTTCGGTTCCCTAATGATAGAACCGAAACATGACTTTGAGAATAGTATAGAAATGTAAAATCTCGTCTTATATAGAGACATTTTCGGTTGAAATTTGTAAGACACTAACGTTCGAGTGTTTCTGAAAATTCAGAACTGGGAGCTCAGTTTCTCAGAATACATGTAGTTTTCAAGGAACTTAACGAGACATTATTTAAAGCACGAGTCCTCACATACACAAAATTGGATAATTTAAAGAACAAAAGAATAGAGCAATACAGCGTTCATGTCGTCTTACAAAGGACAATTAGTACCAACCTTATCAAAAGATTGGAAAAAAATTTGGGATCGTTTTTAAGAAATTCTTGTTTTACTTTTTTTGTGGTTCACATATTTCACGCAATTATATAGGAAAACTACTAGAATTTTCAAAGAAATGTGTATGACGTCAATGAAAGAACTAATTAGGGTGAACAAATTTCATTTTAAAAAAAATCTTTATATTCAATATTATAGTTGTGAGGAGACGCCGAGAAAAAAATCAAACTTTTGTTACCGTCAAGAAATCAAAGTTATTAGTAAACATCAGACCTATGCCAACTTGGCATGCATATTTCACTCTATTCTTACAACAAAGTTGAAGAAAACATTTTAAAGAATATTTTTCGAACTCGTAAAGTTTTGAGACATGCTGAATCGACCAGTGAATAATATTCATTTTCGATAATATTCTAATAGTTCTAGAATGGTTTCTAGTAGTAACATTCTAGTGGTTTCGGTTTCAAAGGGCCTCAAAATATGTATTTCGTCAAAATCTCAAAATCAATTTTCCGCAACATTACATAACTGTAATGCAAAAAATGGCGAAAGCATTATCTGACAAATCCCAGTCGAGGCCCAAGAGAACCGCCTGCTTGCCTGCCTGGCTCCCAGCCTGCCTCATTATCTCTTTCGGAATGCTTCCGTGCCCCTCGGAGCCGGCGCCTCCACGCGCGGCGGCGCTGGTGGTGGCTTCGCAGCATGGGGAGGGGGGCATTGTATTTTGCCCAATTTCACTTTGCGACGCGTCTATTCAACCGATTTTGACGATTGATACGGCGTTGGATTCAGGAAGCACTTCGCCTTCACGCTATAAGACCACGTCTTTTTAATTTCTTCGCAGAACTATTCCAAAACTCATTTTTCATTTACTTTCAAAGGGGCTTCGTAGCGTAGATTATATATTAAATAAAAATAATATGTTGTTTACTTTTTTGAAAATCGGTCCACTTGTTCAGACGTTTTTAGTAAAGTAATTTTGGCCTATTTTGTTGTGACTACGAGGTGGCGACAAAATGAACTAGTGTCGGTACACTTAGCCTTAACGTGCGTATAAGTTCGGTATGAACACCCCTCTTGTTGACACCCGCCCTGCCGGTCGTGGGCGCCTGTTAAGTGGCAGTTCGCGATCGTCGTGGTCTTTGGTCGCTGCGCTGGTCAACCCTGCCGTGCGCGCGTGGCCCCTGCGCAGCTGTTCGCGGAATCGCCCCGCGGGACGCCGCTCTCGGTCGTGCGCCTGCACTGCCAAGCGGCAGCGCTGGCGAATCGCGCAGCGGATGTGGTTACTGCGCACGACTCTGCTACCCCCGTGGGGTGGCGTACCTCACGTCAAAATATTCCGAATGTACGGATGTCAAAAGTTAAGACATTGTGAGTGGTTTTCCTTCCTTATGAAATGTAAATAAAAATACAATACAATATGAAAAAGTGAAATGTCGTAGAAACCTCAATTACTGTGTCATTGCATGCGTGGTACTTACAATACAATATATAATTGGCAATTATAAGGTTTCTGTATCATTGTTACAACTATATCATAAATTTATATATACATCTGGGCCTGCCATAAGTATAATATTGTTTACATTTTCTTCATTCATGAAATTAACTTTTATAAAAATATAGTTCATCGTCCATCCTATTTGATCTACTCTTGCGGAAGTTGATTAAGTCTTACAAATTGTACACACCTGTACATTTTTTACCTATAAGAATTCCCGCAAAAACAAACAACAAAAAGCACACACACTCACACACACTCACACACTCACACACACACACACACACACACACCGACGTCATAGGCGTTGGCGGTCGTACGGAGGGCGGCTGCGGCGGCATGTTCTGCACTCTTCTTCCGTCCGTACGCCGCGACACTAGCGGTGGCGGGGCGATGGGTGGGAGGAGGGGCGACCCACAGTCGCGAAGTGAGCATTGTACACAAGCTGCGGGAGGAAGGACGTAGTGGTGCGTAGCAAAACAGTGAAATATTTGATGCGGTTGAGTTGTTACTACGTGTAGTGGAATTTATAAGGTACATACAGTGTTCATTTCCCTGATTTCCCTGTGTGCCGACAGATCAGTAGAGAGTATCACCACTGATCGGCTCTCGCGGCGCACAAGGGCTGTGACGACGCAATAAGACGGATATAAAGTGTTTCTTTCTTGCAATCGCTTGCTTGTGACCTTGCGATCTCGCGTGCTTGCGATCGTGCTACTCATCTCCAAATCACAAATACACCATTCTAAACAAGGGGGGAATACAAGTTCTCTTAGAGCGTTTACGAAACATGGAATTTCAAAAAACGCGCCGTTCGGAAGCACCGATTGACAGTTCGCTGCCAATGCCCTTTGTGAAAGCCAGCCGGCGTACACTCGGGAATTGCGGATGAAAAGAGCGCATCGTTGGCTGCCTCGGGGCTAGAGGAGTAAGAGGGAACAACAGTAGCCGTATAGACTGAAGGAGCATTCGGCGTAGTGTGCGATCGTCTCTGCATCCGCGCAGTGGCGATCTCAGCGAGTGCCTTGACGTCTCGAAGGTACAACACAGCTAGCACAAGTTTGTAGGAAAAGTATATATCTGTACTGGAAAGAGCCCTCATCCCTTCCAATAAAACAGTTCTTCGCTAGCGCGCGAAACGCGAACGCGTTGCTGTGCAGTGAATTCATAAGAATTGTGTTAATTTAATTTTATAAGCACCTTCTCTTATACTTTGAAGTGGGTTGCAGTGACTGTACATTTTGAATTAATGAAAACCCAAATGCATTTTGCAAACGTTCGTAGTTGGTTACTTTTTTAATGCGTTTTGAAAAACGGAATAAAAACTTTGTTTCGTCACTCAATGTAGACGCAAATTATCTTGATTGTTTCAGTATTCTGTAACTTGTACTTTTAGCCTAAACTTTGTATAGCGAGCTAATGGAAAATACTCTACAGTGTACCAAAATTTGCTTGGTCAGACGGAAGAGCATGAGGCCTCATGGCATGAGTCTCACCACGTAAAATACGACATCAATTCAATTCAAAAGTTCGAGTAAAAATGTTTTGAATCAACTTATAGAATATAACTAAACACTCCTGCGAAAACCGATCTGTAACGTGCTGAGTAGATACGCGATAATCCGACCGTAGTAGTAAATATTTCGGAGAGATTTTTGCCGAGCGAAGTAGAAGCAGGTGTGAAAATAAATGCGAGCAACCCTCACTGCTGATAAGGTACCGTTCAGAAAGATATTACGCTTCATAAGATGCTCTGTGTTTAATTGTCATTATTTATGTTAATGAGTATATATGTATGCATGTGATGTATACCTTTTTTGTACGTGTGTGTGTGTGTGTGTGTGTGTGTGCATGAGAGAGAGGCAGAGACGTTGCACTCCCTAATGGCATTACCACCAGCCCCCACTGACCATTCATGAATACTTTCTCAGCAAGAAAAGTACAGGAGATCTCTGGTACAGAGTCGGCATCTTTTCGTGAGAAAGCCGCCGCGAAAAAGCAGGGGGAGGGAGGACTTTGATGACGGTGGGCAGCGAGACCGCCGGCGACCGCGCGAGGAGGAATGTCATCGCCATGCGGTCGGAGCTAAGGATGGCAAAAAAATCCGTGTTTCTTCAAATCAATACATTCTTCCAGTAACATCAATGTTTAAAAAAACACTCACCATTTAAATAATATTTTTAGTCACTTTTTTTAATATCTCAAACCCAAGGGTTACTGACAACTATCACAGTTATCGATGACGCACGAACGGCTCGAAATCGTTTACTATTAATTTGGATTTGTATTCTTTTTATGAAACGATTGCCTTTAAAGTAGATAATGAAAAAATCAATATAGAGAATATGTATACCTATGGCAAATAATCTCCTTCAGAAATGGAAGTCGAAAAGAAATAGAAAGACGGATCTCAAGGAAGAAATTTGGAACATGAAATATATATTTCTGGAAAAGTTACTTCCATTGAAAATTAAGAGAGCGGTCTTGGGTACATGTAAACTTCCTGCTATGCTATACGGGGCGCAGACATGGTCGCTGAATAAAAAAGAGAAAAACATACTAAGCATATACCAAAAAAGTATGTAAGGAAAGATATTAGGAGTAACTATAAAGAAAAACCAAATGAGACGTCATCATAAGAGAAAAAAACTCGCATAATAGAAATCACTGAAAGAACAAGCAGCTGAATTAGAGATTGGCCGGACATGTAGCAAGACTCAGCGACGAAAGGAGGGATTATAGCAGTAATTGGGCTTAATAACACCTACAAGTAAAGTCGGAAGAATCGTTGGGAAGACGAAATAAAATTTGAAGTAGGAAGTTTGTGGACAAGAAGAGCAAGAAATAGAACTTGGTAAATTCTCTGTAATAAGTGAAAGTGTGAGTTAAAGGCAAATGAAAAGAAAAACAAGAACAACTAAACTGTTTAAGATAGATTTTCCGGGGTGGTAGGCCGTGTTCCAGTTGGCATTGTTGGGCCAACAATGCCAACTGGACCACGGCCTACCAGCTCGGAAAATCTATATTCTATTGACTCCTACGATACTATATAAACTGTTTAAGTTTAAGTGATAAGCGAAAGTGTTTAATTTTTGGTATAACGTTGTGCTGTCACCAAATTTTATTATATTAAGATAGTTTTCTGTACGGAAAGAAAGTAGGTCGCGAGACTGGGCTGTCACAAAGGTTCTTTTCAACACACCGCCGCCGTCGCCAACTGCCACGACCGCCTGAGAAATAGGGTGCCGTCCGCCCGGCGCTCGTCCATCACACCCCTTCGGCAGGGGGCCGATCCGCAGGGAAGACCTCCCCTACCCTCTTCAGGGAGCCCCCGCGCACTTAGCCATACAATGACCGCCCGCGTCTTGGCCCGGACACAGACCCTGCCTGCCGGCCATTCGTCACGCCCCCGCGCAAGGAATCTCCCTACAACACTTCCGGAAGTCCCAGAGGTATTGTAAATATCTCGCCCGTCGCCGGCTGCCGATCATGGCGCCGATGAATTATGTTTTCGAAAACAAAGCCGCCTGAACACGTGTTCGGGCAGCTGCAAGCGATGGTTCTAGAATTAGAGAAAGAGATCGCCCTGGGAAATTCCAGGAACATTGCGTCCCGATTGGGTGACATAAAATTGCGACGCAAATAGTTTCGGCCTATGAGACATCTCCCCGTGAGGGAAAGGGCAAAGCTACGGGTCTTGAGACGTTTTCGGGAGGGGGCAACGGAGGCGAGCTCGGCCGGGAGCCGAGTAGAGAAAAAGATTCTTAAGGAGAAATCGGAGAAAAGAGGTGGCTCTAACATTATTAGGGAGAAATTGTAGGAGAAAAGACTTGGCTCTTAGATAAGACTCAGTGGAGTGAGGAACATTATTAATTTCGGCTCGTAGTCTGAACTTGGCCACCGAGTGCGATTTTAACCGAACCAAAGACCCGCGCAGACGACGCGTCAATCTGCGTTCGCCGCGTAGTGCCGCCTCCGGCCCGTTCAATTCCGCATTACGCCCGCCCGGCGCCCGTGTGTCCTCGAGCGGACTCTGAGCCCACCCGCCTTGACGACTCCGAGCCGCGCCATGCCGCCAGCTGAGAAGGACCGAATGCGGACTCGGTGTCTTGCCGTCGCGCCGTCGCCGCACCAGGCCGCCAGCCCTCGCCAGTGCGAAGATTAATCATGAGACGAGGACAGCCATCCACCCGGTCTGCGGAGGCGCCGACAACCAGCGGTGATAATCCGGTATTTAACCGAAGATGAACTCTCTCCCCTGATTACGTCATGGGTATTCATTCGCTGGGTATTCTGGTGAAAGTTTCAGCGTTGCCGCGCTCAGGCATTTTTGTAAAATAATTGTAGACAAAACCCCAATGTTAGTGTTAAAATGTTTATTCCTAGTACACAATTAAGATTAACTTTCTCGACCTAGACCTTACATTGCCGTTGCTCTAGAATTTTGCGTGTAGTTTGATTGGTGAATGACTTTGTTCAATAGCTATACTGGGCTCACATTGACACATATTTCAAAACAGAAAATTTTAGAAGGTACGTAAAGAAAACCTCATTTTAATTTATAACCACACCATGTCTTTCAAGAGCGAAATGTGTAAAATATTTATATCCATGCATTGGTTATTTTTTATGATTTCCGATAGTAAAAGAAAATTAATCGAACGGGCATTGTTGATGAATTACTTCAGAATCAAGATGACCTTTTCTACGCAATTCCATTCGCTGCTTTGATCTCGCCCGCGATTCAATGCGCGTACCAACCAAGGACGATAAAAACAGCTCCTGCTCCGGGGATCCTTTCTCGGCAGCGATGCTTGTTGTAGTACGCGGATTTTTCATACAGCTAATCAATTCGGCATAAACTAGTGGATTGTTAATGCTGTTGATGTGTTCATTAAGAGCAGTCTTTATTTTTACCCTGTGGGGGACTGCTGGTTGCAGATGAGTCTACTGTTTGATAAAGAAAATAATGTCGTAGGTCCTGAAGTCAGTTACCTGTAGCGGAGGCTGGGGCAAATAATATTAGTAGCCGTGTACAACGTGGGCAAGTATTCGATGGACACATGTCGGCTGGAAGCCTTCTTATTTTTAGAAACGCTTATTGTTATGAAATGCCCGGCGCGCGACCAAATTCATTGGTTACCAGAAACAGGAAAACGCCACCATTGGCACAATAAAATCAGCCCGCGAAGTATTTTTTTGCCATTACTATGGAGCGGTTGTGGACTACACGGTGTATCTAGATCGCTAGATTTCACGCATCACCTGCTGCCTCCCCGTCGCGTGGGCCGGGCGAGCGGTCGGCACAAAGCCAGCACGGCACGGCATGGTGCGAGGGTAGTGAGGTGGCAGAGCAGGCTTCCGGGGCGCGGGGCGGCGACGACACGACGGCACCTGTCCGCGATGCCTCGCCCCTTCCCACCCATCGATGGTGTAACGGTTAGCATATCGGACTATTAAACTCAAGTTCGCGGGTTCAAACCCGATCCAAGACGTTGATTTTTAAGGGAGAGAAAATCCTTCGAACGCCTTCCTTCGTAGAGGAAAGAAGCCTGATGTTAATAAATTTATTGCGTGTAAAAGATTTCAAGCCTAAATGAAGCCTCTGAACTTAATTCAAATCGCCTGTTTCGTCGCTCACAAAATACCTCCTTTTCCCGCTTGTGGGTGAAAGGAGCGCAGCGAAATTTGCGTGGTCAGACGGAAGAGCGGGCCCAATGGTGGGGACAACGAGCCTAACAAGGGATGAACTTCTTTTGTTGGACAGCCTAGCATCGGCGAGCACATTTCGTGGACGTTTTATCTTAAATGACACTGCCAAACAACTGGTGAACTATTATTTTAATTTTAGTTTGTTTCTAAGTAGTAGTTGTATCTGAAATAAGTACAATATGTGTTAAATGTGATGGTATGTTGTTTTGGAGTTTTATCTTACAATATAAACAAATAACAGTGGAACAGTTGCTTTCCCTAGTTGAAATCACTTGAGACGTAATATTGAACGAACTGGAAGAACGAAAGCCAAAGTCTTGGATAGCAAGAAATCGAAGACGGATTTGCTGAAATAACGTGGAAGGCTGGGAGCACACGGGTGTCGTCATTTCCTCCCTTTCCCCTTTCGACGCCTTTGCTCCCATCAGACACCTTCTTGAAGACAGTGCCACTGAGGGAAGGATACTACAGGAGTCATTCCCTCCTGCGCTCCTTAACAGTGTCCCTCCTGTGCCACACGGGTTTGCTTCATCCCATCTCATCCCATCCCATCTCATCCCATCCCATCCCATCCCATCCCACCACACCCCGACTGCGCCCACCTGCCACGACGAGGCCCACCTTTTGCCCCCACCAACCTCCTCCTCTTGTTCTTTTTCTTCTCTTCTGCCTCTTTTTTTCTCTCGTCTCTTAATTTTCTCTTCCTCCCCTTCCCTCGCTCCCTTTTGGCTTCACGCTCGTTAGTCCTCACGTGCGTCCGAAATATTTCTGGGCGAACGGGACGACCAAAAATGCTTCGAATTAAAATACTGCCTCGTCTCTTGGGCAGCCCGCGGCACCCGTGCTTCTGATGGTTGAGCTGCGGTTATTTGGGGCACGCAGGTAGTGGTGTGTACAATTGCTAATTAACCGTAATGAAATGTGGCGCATAGAGCGCATGAGCGCACCTGCGGCTTTTTCTTTCGCGCACTCTTTTTTCTGGAGCCTCGGGATTCAAAACAGTTGTTTATTTCACTTACGGTGGAATTTATTTGCTGCGTTGTTTTCCTGTGTAATTAGCTGCGACAAAAGAAATATTTGAGAATTGAAAGATAGAACCATTGTAAACATATAACATATCATTTTGTGTACATTTCTTGGGTAAATGTACAAATGAAGGGAACTTTGATGTTATTCAGATGTCTTAAAGGCGTAGTGTGATATGACTGCTATTACCAAACTTACTCTTTTGTTGATCCATGTTAAGCTAGTCATTTGTGAAATACCTACGTATCCTACTGCTATTAATATTAATAAAGCTTTATACTTTTTATAAAATATCTTATGGATATTATGAAGGAACTACTTCCTCTGCTATTATCAATGTTATTTATTTCGTTGTCCGGCTATGCTCATAAATTCTCTCAAAGTTAAAATGTTATACGTATTAATTTCACTTTCAAATTTAATCATGGGTTTCGACGTACATGTTTCTCCTTACCTGCTGCAAGTGGAGATGTAATTCTCTACAGAATTAGATTTCTGGAATTTCTGTGCATTAAAACTAATTATTTAGAACACCAAAATATCCCCCCCTAGATCATAACTAAACCTACTATCGATCCCTTTCCCAACAATTTCTCCAATCCCAACTAGAGCGACTCCGCCGCTGACCTCGTACTTAACAACATTCTCAATATTTCTAGATCATGTCATCCATAGCCAAGACACATTGGAAACTGACAGACTGGGCTTATATATCCAGTATTCATGGAAGTCCTCTCACATCAAGTTTAGAAACTTTGCTTACAAAAATAGCTCTTACAATTATGCTTTCTTAATAGCAATGAACCTTGTCACTTCCAACCCAAATAAGAAATGTATTATTTTATCAACATATGTACGGAATAGCATTAAAGTTTCACCCAGTAATCACCTACTATTAATCTGTACCAACTTACTTGAAATCTGCAAAGAGACAACTGACATGTTTATTCAATTTCTGGTTATGCTAATTGCAAATAATTGGATCACCAGAACATCTATATAAATAATATGGATCGCAAGAATCCCTATTTGCAAATCACCTGTCTTTAGGTTGCTTATTGATTTGAAGAGAAAGTAAACAACAAAATGTCTGCGCAATTGAGCACTACCTGAAGCAATTGAGGACTACCTGAAGTTAACTGGCGGCCATAAAGATGTGATCAAACCTATGGAATAAAATCAAAGCAAGCACAACTCGTAAGAAAATTAGAGACTTTCTTGCCCTAAAAACGCACGCAAACCTCTCACGTCGTGAACAAGTAACCATTTTACGCTTTAGATCAGATCATACCAAATTTTCCCATACAGGAGAGAAAACCTATCCCGGTGTGTTTCTCTTGCAATTGCCCGCTGGACATGAATGGCATACCCCGGGAATGGAATGTACGCAATACAATTCCATCAGACCTCAATTTTTTCACACAGAAAGTTTTATTTCTATTGATGATACATACGAAACCGATACAAATTTTGTATCGAAATCGGTGCTTTGGACAAAATGTATTAGAATAATGTAATATATTGCTCCTCTCTGTAATAATTATCATTCATGTAATATTTAAGGTTTGTATTGTATGTTTTTGTATTATAATCATAATTGTAATGTAATGTAATGTAACATTGTAATTGAATTCTATGTGCATTTTATGTTTAAGAAAGGGGAAATTGAGGACAAAAAAAAAAAAAAAAAAACTTGTGAATAAATAAGCACCCTTTAATATCTGTAGGAAAAAGAAACATTTTTGATTCACCATATTTCCTTCCCTTCCCCAATCACACAAATACCAATAATTAAGAAATAATAAGATGAAGATTTTTAACTTTATATATAAGATGAAGATTTATTTTTTAAGATTCAGATGTTTATGAATGGTAGAAATTTCAATAGACTCGAATTGAGTTCAAACAGAAATTCAGAATTCAATGAATTTTGGGTACAAGTATAATTTAAAATTATTTTCAACTTGTGTGAGGTAACTGAAAACTAATGTGCAATGCTCTTTGGTGATATTTTCGTCAATGGAAATAAGACTTATGAAGTAAAATGCATGTGAGAGCAATACACTAAATTTGTGTGCATGAAGTATTCTGAACAAAAAAAATGTAATAAATTTGTTGATCAGACAACAATAAATTAATAGTTGAAGGGTGTAACTGCTGGAACCCTTGTATATGCACACAGTTCCAAAATGTTGTTTTCCAATTATTCATCTGTATATTTTAGTACTTTACTTTGAGCATGAGACCTTACCATCTGAGCACAAGAATCAGTGTCTTATGTAACATTAACCTATCATACTCATAATTGTCCATGGGAAACCACGTTTTAGGAAGTATTATATTTCATGATTCTCTTTTGCTTTAGAGGAGTGAAATCCTATTTCTGAGATTTTGCTCAAATATGTCTTCAGGAAAAGAAGAGAAGTGCATGATGTATAACATTGCATGCATGAATGATCACTTTTTTCTCAGAGCTGAAAGAAGACATAGTTCAAGTAGTGAAACTGCTTGAACTGCGAATATGTATTTTATGTAATAAGTACATAAAATAAACATAGATGCAATGATGAAGGTATAAATATTTACTCGCCAGAGATGCCCTTCATTTCAAACATGTTTTTTTGCAAGTATGTTATCACCTCCTGTATTGTAACGATGCGGAACACAATGTTTTCTGAACAAGCATTGTGTGTGGGTGCAAGTGCATATGTAATGATGTACAAATGACTTAATAAATCTGTAATTTCATTTCCTTCCTGTTTGTTGTTTATTATTTGATTTATCTGAAAATTTATCCACACGAGAGAATATTATAATTAATTAATGATTGAGACCATGATATCCACATTCTGGAAAAAAACATTCTCAAAGGAGTTGTGTCATTCTTAAACAGAATAACTACAAACAAATGAATAATTACTTCAAAAAATTAGCACATGTCTGTCATGTAAGCAATTTTATGAATTTCAAATGTTTGATGTAATGTGTGCATTTAAGCTGTTATAGAGCACTCTGGATTTATCAGACGTCTTCCCAATTTTGTCGATTTATACATCTATGAACGTGTTTATTTTTTACATGGACTCTACTCTACCTAAGGAAATAAACTTTACTCATAAGAAATATTATCGTTTTCTTTGCACTTTTATGTATATTGCACGCGTATGACATCATTTTTTGCGTTTTTATTCAAAACTGGTCCTCCAGGCTCCGGTCCTCCAGGTTTGGGGGTTGTGCTGTAGGCCAGCACCCTGCACACGTATATGGAATGTACAAAGTATATGAAATAAACAACAAGAAGTAATCCAGGAAATGCCCCCAAGAGGAAGAGATATAACCAATCCATAAGAAAGGATTTAGGAAACATGACAACAAATTACAGAGGAAAAATCAAACATATTTTTGGAAAGGTAACCGCTGTTAATAGCAAAATAATACGAAATAAAATAGAAGAGATAAAATGAAAAATAGGAGAGGAACAATGTGGTTTTACTGCCGGCAGTCGGTCATAGGCAATATATTGCATTAAAACAACTTATAGAAAAGAGAACAAGAGAGGTAGGGAAGTTCATCTGGGTTTCATTGATCTTCAGAAGGCGTATGACAATGTACCGGTTGCTAGAGTATGGGAAGAAATGGATGGACTTCAAATCAGTGAAAACTTAATTGGAGCCACACAGAATCTATATAAGAATAACACTCTCAGATTAAGATCTACGCAGGCTCTCTGAACGATTCACAGTCAGCATAGGTTTTCGTCAGGGGTTGGTGTCTTCCGCACAATGTTTAAATATTGTAACGTCCGTGTGTAGGGATCTACAATCATGGAAACAGACACGAGTGAGTATATACAAGTTTTTATTAGCGACACTGTAATATTTCAACTCATCTAAGGCTCCAACTGCAGCCTCTCTTGCCTACATGGTGCTTGCGGGAACCCTTGCTACGACCCAGCCGGCAAGGCGGGTCGTGATTGGCACGCTGGTGTGCCGTCCGCGACTGACGATCGCCCGAATTGTTTGGGAAGAACCATTGCACCTTGTCGATACTCATCGACACACGGTGCCTCGAGCCTTCCGCGCTAACGCCTGGGCGGACAAAGTTTTTGTGGTGCTAAGCACGAGAACAAAACGTTAACCATCGGCCGTCTCGCAGCGTACTTTATATGGTCAGGTCACTGACGTCCTAGTCAGCTCCTCACCCCCGCGTGGTGAAAGCTTTCCCTGGCGCTGCCTGGCCGCGGACTATTTCCTGTCGGAAGGTCGTTTTTTGTTCTATCTTTAGATCCCCAGCCTCTCTACTTGCACTCGGCTGCTGGCCTAGCCGTGAGCTACAATATCGCAATAAAATTTTAACAAGCAGTGGGAGAAACAATGCAGAGTACTGGAATGACAGATCGGGGGATCAAAATTGTTTACGTTATATTTTGCTGATGAACGCATGGTAGTAATTGCGAAGATGCAGACGATTTGAGTTTATTGTCGTAACTCAATGAACATTTGGTAAAAGCAGGACGTTAATATTATATATGGACAATCTGAATACC